TTTAATTAGGTTCGAATTTTCGAACCGGACTTTTCGTCAGGTTCGAGTCCGGTTCAAGCTCGAACCGAACCAGACTTTTTTTCGGAACCCTATTGATAACATCAAAATTTATTTGCAGCTATCTTTTGATTGGTGATACACTAATTTTTTTAATATTGTACTTATTGCAGCTGAACTGAAAAGATGAATTTCTAATTAAGCTAAATAACAAACTGCTAAAAATTTTTTGTATTACATACTTCTAATCATATTAATAATTCATATAACCACCATTTCTTTTATTGTCTCACTAATTCTTTTTGATATAAATTCATATAATTTAGAACAATAATCAAGTTCTATACTTTTCTATGTCACTTGCAACTTTTCTCACAACTCTTCTGTATTTGAAAGTAATCCAGGAAGTTGTCTTATGCACATATTCATTTCATTTCATAAATTTTCTATGGGATTCAGATCAGGAGACTGGGATAGCCAGTCTAGCAAAGTGATAAATTATTGCTTTGCTTTAACAGAGACATGTTTTGAATCTTTATCTTGCTAAAAGATAAAATTGCTATCCTCTAACCCATTCTCCCAGACTGATCCTAGAAAATTATTTGTTAGAATGTTCATATAGACATTCATATTCATTTTCTACAATTTTTCTCAATTCACCAATACTGTTATCTGTCACATAACTCCAAATAATAATTAAATCACCACCAAATCTGATAGTTGGTATAATATACTGATCTTTTAATGGATTACCAGGCTTCTTTCAGCAATATTTTCAGCTATCTGATCTGAAAATTTGGTACTTGGTTTCATCAGATCAAATTATATGTCATCATTCATTAGCAGTTCAACTTTAGTGTTTCTTTGCCCATGCCAACTATTATTTTTGTGTGTTGATTTGAGGTAAGACTTTTTCATATTATGTGAGTGAATAATCCATTTCTGCGGAGCATACGTCATGTATTTTCCACTGAAAGATCAACGTCTAACGCATTTTTAAGCTCTCATTGGATCTCAATAGTGATGCTACATTTTCTGGAGTAGATTAATTGACATGCATTTCTTTCATAATGTGTTGAGAGAGTTGGTGGGTGACCAGTTTTTGGCTTGTCATCAAAACTCCTGGTCTCTTTCTTCTTTTGCATATCCAGCAGATGGAGGCTGGTCTACTTTTTCTGATGCTGCAATTTCCTGCATCAAATATTCTTCCTGCCAGATCGTGTAAATGTGATCATGTTTCTTTATTGGAATTCTAGTCATAATAATAAAAATATATTAGTTTGTTTGTGGGAAAGTGAAGATTTTTTTTAAGTTAAAAGAAATTAGAAGTGTTCATGCTTATCTTTTTATAGCCCTCCATTTATCTTCAATCTAGTTCGGTCGTAATAAGTGCAACGTTAAAAAAAGATGAAAAATTAGTGTATCATCAATCAAAAGATAGCTGCAAATAAAATTTGATGTTATTAATACTAAAGATATTGATGAATCACTATACTTAACTTTTAGTTGTCCAAGTTTTCCCTACGGCGAGGTATTCGTATCTCGTTGTTTTTTCAGTGTTGCGTTTCTTATGTGAACCACTGTATATAATTCAATTATAAAGTCATTCGAATTTTTTAGATTCGAATATTTGAAAAATACGAATCGAATTCGAATTTTCGAATCCAAACTCTACTCATGATATAGTAAATGTGATTATTGTCAAGTTTTAAATATCATATCAATTTTATAAAGCTGAATGTTCTAGCAAAAGTTGGACGACCAATTTGCAATTATGTTATATCATCCGGTCTATTAATAATGAGCTTCTGCAATTTAACTTTTTTATCAAAGATGACAGAGACATTGATGTTTGACAAGGTATCGATATCGACAGTCTAAATTGCTCTAAGATGTAGTTAAATTACAAATAAATGAATACTCTATAATGAAGTGCCTTTTGGTATGTTTTATTTTTTTAATTGTTCTTATTAAATTCAACTCATAATTGTTTTCTTTTCTAAAAAAATAGGAAGCGGTCAAAGGCGAATAAGACCATGGGAACTCTGTCAAAGAATCATCAAAAATCAGAGACCCAATTCAAAGAAACCTAGTTAAAACATAGTTAAAACATTTCGCCCGAAAACTACTGCTGATCAATGTCAATTGCAACACTATAAACATATAAGATCACAGAGAAGGAATTCTAGTCACTTCAATAATTTAGAGTTGCCTTTAACGGAACATATTATTGATTCTTCGTACTTTGCCGAAGTAGTGGTCCTAACTCAATTTTGCCGACTTAGCACGTGTTTTAAGATTCATTATTGATTGCTAATTCTTTAAGCTTGCTATTTTGCTGTTTAATACTCTGTTTTATCATTGCATTAGTACCCAATACTTTATTAAAACAGTTATTTTTTTGTTACCTTCGATGATTTCGAAAAGGACCTATAGAATAAATTGAGTAGAAAATTGAGCTATTAGCACTATTCCAGACTGTTGATGCAACTGTATCATCCATTGTTTTCATGGATTTGGAGATTTTGGGTTTGAACGAGCAAAAGTTCAAACTTGATTTATTTTGTATTTCAGAATATATTGTAAATCGAATCACCACTTTTCAAACGAACTCATTTTAAAAGATAGTTTATTCCAAATCTATTAATGTAGCATTTATCAGTTCAGTCAAACCCCTCTATAATCACACACATTTATAGTCACACCCCTCTATAGTCACCAAATCTTGCTTTCTCGAGGGTGGTGACTATAGATGGGTTTGACTGTAATAGCAATAATAAGAGATAATGTCTTAAATGACGATTACGAGCATATAAAATATACAGTGGATCGATGGAAATAAAAAACATCTTCCATCCTAACTTGAAAATATACTGTACTTCCCTTTATTAGATTCTCTTTGATAACCATTACCGTTACCCTTTAATCTTTACGAGGGAACTGTGTACTTACGCATATCAATAAAAAGCAGCAATGCTATATACAAAGCAGTATTACGAAGCATCAACAGAAAATGGAAATCAATATGGTCAACTATTATTTGGTGATTATTGTCACCGGATCATTACGAGAAACAAATTATTGGATCGAGCTAAGGCAAAAGTCAATATGGTAATTTCCGATTGAAAATCCGATTGCAACTTCGAGATGAAAAAGGCACTTGCAAAGATTTGTATGAAGCACCTTTGATGTATTATCGTCTTTCGTAAGTTAATTATTTAGCAATGTTTATTCGGTATTCTTATATTTGTATATAACATAATTAGTTATTAAAGATAAAATTGTTATTATCAACAATTAAAAAATATTAGGGATAAAGTACATGTGTATAAAATGATGAATCATTACAATACTCAAGGGTTTTTTACTTCAAAGCCACGAGCAAACCCCACATAGTATGCAATCTCTTCACTGTCCCAAGTAATCGGAATCACGGTGACACAATTAAGAAACGGCTAAACAAAAGAAAGAAGAATTAGAAAAAATTCACAGGTATATTCTAATTCTAAAAATAAGAGATTACCTCTCCGCCTTTTCGATAATTTATAAACTTAGTCTGACACTCACGACCGGAATTTATTTGATTTCTCATATGATGCACGGCATTCGGATCAGTAAATTCTCGCTTAGATCCATGCGTGACTCGGCCATCGGGTGCTTGTAGAAATCGACAATTTCGACCAATTATTTCTGATATTGGGTAACCGGTTAGACGCTCGAACTGGTTATTAGCATATATGACGGGATAGTCGTATATACGCGCATCGACTAAAATATGTAGAAAATTTAAAATTTAAATTTTATTGATATAGATGAAGATAGCAATACATACCTATTATTAGTGAGCATTCTAAGTCAACTGGACCGAGATTTATTTGTGGATTTGGTCTGATAAAGGAATGTTAGGTCTCTCAAAATTGTTTATTTCATCATTATTATCGTAATTTTGCTTTTACTCACCTTGTTGCTACACGAGCCTGGTTCCAAATAATTAATAAAAACTCAAGTTAAAAAATAATATTACAAAAAAATAAATTACCCACCAACAGTCCAATCACGTCAAATCCGCTCGCCGAATAAACAATCCCAAGTCCTTTTTATTGATTCGAAGATAGTTTAGATGTGAAATCGATAAAATATATTCCTAACATATATATAATTACCTGGCAATATTGGCGATGGCAGAGTGGGAGTCATTTGTTGATGACCTGATACTGAATAACGCGTCCTTTGATTATGCGAGCCGCCAATATTTCGTGAATACGTTGACAATTGATTCATTCTTCTTTGAGATGAAGATGAAGCAATAGAAGATGAAGGCGGCAAAGAATTCGATAAATTATTGCTGCCTCCTGCGTATAATGGGCGAGTTCTAGCAGGGACATTAGTTAGAGAGCAAGGTAACAAGGAAGAAGATGAATTATTATGTTCTGCTTGTGATGGCACTATAGGACGTTGCATCAATAACGCATTCCTATAAAAGAAAATAGCATTAATGTCAAAATTGTATTTACATTTTATAAAGAATTTGAATGATTCCATACGTATTCGAATTTGGATCAAACTCGATTGCATTAACATTGACAACTATTGAAGATGAAGACATCGACGATTCTGCTCGTGGTTGTTTTTCCCATACGTTTATTACATTTGAATTACTAATCGAGATTTCTTGTGCTTGTTGTGATCTAGTTTCAGGATCGTTTGTCCCTCCGAATGTATTCGAGTTGGTCGAATTTCCACTTTGGCGCTTGTCATTCATTTTTTCGTAAAAAAATTAGGGATATTGTTTAATAGTGAAAAAAAAACCGAATTTGTTATATCGATAATGGTCAATCAGAACTCAATACGTGCTTATAAATATATGTTTATGTAATGTAATCATATCGATGTTAAATTCTGTGACCTCATAATAATGAGTTAGTTAATATTTTATATTATTTGCAAATATCCACAAGCAGTTTAAGTTTAGGTCACCTAATCAAGTGTTCGGCAATTCGGGTACAACGTAAAGACCTAGGAAGAGGTTATTAGGGAAATGCAAATTCACACACGCTAATGAACTTCTAGTGTTAAGACCTAATAAAAAATATTAGAATTCAGACTTTTAATTAGAATAATTTCATATCGATGTGATTTCCTTTTAGATTGAACGGTGTAACAGGATGCAAGCATAACGATAATTACATGTTCATGTACGTAATGGGAAATTTGTTTATTAGGAATTGAAAACTTTAATTGTGCATTTTTTACAATATAAGCGAAGTCGAGGCACGAAAGTTATTATCTCTGATGATTGGTAAATACAATGATAACGATCAATGACATTTTTACCAATGTCATTAAATTTTTCACATATCTTGAGGATTAAATAAAAACAGTGGATTGAACAGTATTTGTCACGGCGATAGCATTCATTTTACTGAGATATTGTCTTATAAACACCATAGTATAAAAAGAGTGGACTAATGAATTTGGTCATTATTTGTCTTGATCAAACTTTAAAAATACAGTGAGACTTCTCTTTATGCACCCTCTATAGTACACTCTCTCTAAATGCACGCTTTGGTCCGGTCACAAACTATAGGCTCTTATATTTGAACTTATTCTCTAATGCACGCTTGTATTCGGTCCCTAAGGCGTGCATTTAGATAGAGTTGACTGTATATTCTTAAAAGGTAGAAAACTTAAACCTTAATTTAGTCTATTGAAATTTAATTGGCCAAAAATTAGATTTCTACCAAAAAGAATACGAAAAAAGTAAAAAGCTATTAGAAAACAGTAATTTTCTGGAAAAAGCCCCCCGTCTCAATGCTGTATCTTTCCATTAAGGAGAGTACAAAAATCTTTAATTTATCTTGGAGACTCCCACCTGACTAACAGTGCTAATCAAATTTAATGGCGAAAAAAAGTGTTGGATCACGTGCTGCTAGTGGCACAAACTAATAAAATGCGTAAATTTTGATCAGCCCAGAGAAACAAATCCGACACAAAAAAACGAATAAAGCAAAAATACGGGAAACAGATGCCTAAATCTAGCTTGGTACACTAAAAAAAATTCAGGAAGGCAATTTACATATAATTTTGACTCCAGCTCTAGCCCTAATTCTAACCTTTAAATTAATCTTTAAATTAACCTTTAACGATAACCTTTATTACCGTAGAATTTTTCCGGACATACACAAATATCACATGATCAGACACTTTTTTTCGCCGTCGACCAGTAGATCACGAGTTATTGGAACCTAACCCAAATAATCACGTAATTTCTGTCCCTCCCTATACTGTATATCGGTATGAACTATAAAAAATGCTCCTTACTTTATTCAAGAAAAAGTAAAATAACTGCACTCATACAATATTTTCAAACTCATCTTACAATTGAGTATGAAGTTAGCTGAGAAGTGATTGGTGGTTGAGTAATATTTCCAGTCTTTCTAATATTTCTTTTAACTTTTGGTTTGACTGTTTTTATTTTGCACTCTGGTTCTTTATTTTCTTCTAATTTTTCTTCATCTTCATTTTCCATTTCTTTTTTATTTTCTTCTTCATTTAGATGTTGTCTTTTATCAGTATATACTTCAAACAAATTTAAGTTTGAGGAGTTTAATAGTGATTACATATTTTTATCCTCAGAAAATACACCAATTAGTTTTTTGGCTGCTCTTGTTGTTGACTAGCAACTAATTAATTGAATAGTTGTTAAAGAATTTTAGTCTAATTAATTATTTGATTATTTGTTGGTTGTTAATTTGGTGTATTATTAATAACTAGTACTTGTCTATTTGTATTGAAATTATTGTTATTATTATTTAGATTATTATTATTACTGGCTGAACAGTCTCTTTTGATATGGTCTAGTTATCCACAAGTATAACATACTAAATTTGCTGGCTGTTGGTACTATCTATTTTGTTGTGATCTTTGTTGTTGATAATTATTTTGGAAATTTCTTCTTGGTTGATTATATTGGTTTTGTTGACTTTGTTGACTTGAAAGATTGGTTATTAACTGGCTAAATTGTTGGATGAGAGTAGTGATAATATTGTTTAAGTCATTTATTTGAGTATTTGAAACATTTGGAGCATATCTATTCATATATGCTATTGTTGAATTTTGATTTTGATATGTCAATTTATAGATCTTCGCTCTATTTAATATAATAATTTAAGTTTGGTCATTATGTGATTTTACCATTAAATATAATTCAGATAATAGGTCATTTACCAATCTTCTTGCTTTTATAATTTTTGGATATTAAAATTCATTATTTTTTACTCTTCAATATAATTTTTGTTGAGTACTTGTATAAGAGTCAATATTTTTATTTAAATTTTATTGTCTTTTTTCAAATTTGGTTATTCAAATTTTAATTAAAGTTATTATATAAAAAGTATTTATAAAATTAATATTGAAGTTAGTGTTATTGTTATTTCCTGTTTATTGAGTTATTCTATTTGCATCTTCAAGAGCTAATATTTGATTTATTATTTACCAAGTAGAAGCTGAATCTTTTAAATAAGCTGATATTATTGCTAGTTTTTTAATATCATTAGTTTTATTTGCATTATATGCTCTAATAAATTCTTTCAACCAACTAATTGGATCTTGATTTCTCTACTAAAATTAGAGATATCAACTATTTTTGATTCTTTCATGGGCTAATTGGTAAGTGCTTGTATATTATTTTGTATATTGTTATTCAAGATATTTAAAATATTATTTTATTATAAAATTGCAACAATTAATTATTAAAGTACTGTTATTAAGTTTTGGAAATCAGCTTGTTATATCATATTATCTTGAAATAATAAATTTAAATCTTCTAATATATTATCTTTACTATCTTTTTGTTGAATTATAATATAATCTTCTGGATTCACTTTAGATATAATATTTGTAAGTGAAACTATTATTAGAATATTGATAAATCTATAAGTTTTTTGTAATATTTTTATAATAGTAATCTTTAAGTATTATCTTTTATTAAAGTTAAGTTAAATATTATATAAGATTGAATCAAGTAGATCTGTAATTAATCTTTTTTGTTGTTTTTTAGTAATTGTAATTGAATAAACTAATTAATCAAATATTATCAGCTATATACTATTACTTCACAATCAAATATTCAAGTTCAAAGTTAATAAACTTATAATCTTTTCTTTTATTAATATTAAAAAATGAGTGACAAATATAACAGTAAAAGGATAATAAATAACATATTGAATTTAAATTATCTTTTAATTCATATATTAATAAGTATATATTAATAATTATTCTAGAGAAAGTATAGACGTAATTCATGAAAAAAGAGTATAATTTGATTTTTGATAGAAGATATTAATTGTTATTTTAGTTCTTTTAACAGTATTATATAGCAAAAAATTTTTAAATGAATTTTTTCTTACAATTATAAGAAGAGTTAATAAGTAAAGTTAAGTTTATTATTAAGAAGATTATATATTATAATTATAATAATTTTAAGATAATTTTATTAATAAAGCTTCTTTATTATTATATTTTTTACTATTACTATCTTAGTTAGTACTTTGTATATAGACTATACAAGTATATAATACAAAAATAATAATATTATTAAACTATTCCAATTTTATAATTAAAATTATATTAAAATCAAAGAATAATTATAAAATATTTAATAAGTAAACTTGTTATTAACTTCTAATTAAAAATTTTTTATTAAATTTATTTATTTTTTATTAAGTAAAATGTTACTTATATATAAAATTAATTGTTATAAAAATTTATAAATATTCATAATACTAAACTAATAAAAATTCTATATTTTAACAAATTAATAATTTAAAATATTAAAAGTTCAATATCTTTAAGAATTAATAATTTAAATAATTAATAATTCAAGATATAAAAAGTTTAATATATCTATTATATTGATATACAATATATAAATAAATAATAAGCAAAATAAATAATTAATAAGAATATATAGTCCAATAAGATATAATATAAAATTATAATTAATAAGATATAATATATAAAATAATTAATAAAAAATAAAGAATTAAAAATTTATTATAACAATATATTTCAGTATAAAAATTGATTACAAATAAGTAATAATAGTATTATTAGTATTTTATAATTATAATTTAATAATTATTAAAATAATAAATAATAATTAAAAGAATAATACAGTAACAATCAGAAATAATAATATCAAAATTTATTAATTAAATATAATAAAATACAAATTTTTCTCTTTATATAAAAATTTTCAATTTTAGTAATAAATATTTTTATTATAAAGATAATATCACATATTTTAACATATATATTTTTAGATTTTTTAGATTTAATCTGATAAAGTTATTCTAATTGTATATAAAGTTAATTATTTTTTTATAATTAAAATATATAAAAAATAATTGACTTTATATACAATTAGAATAGCTTTATCAGATTAAATTTAAAAAATCTGAAAAAAATATATACTCCTATACTATATTATTGGAAATTGAAAAAAAATATAGTAAAATTGATATTATTGCTTTATATTAAAATTTATTATTTTATTATTAATTTTATACTAAAATAAAGATGATAATATATATTTTTAATATATATTCTTCTAGAATATTCTAGAATATTCTATTCACTTGTAAATATAGAAAAAAATTTTTTATAATTAAAATTGCAATTTTTTTAATTTTAATTATAAAAATTTTTTTTCTATGTTTATAAGTGAACAAAAAATTCTAAAAAATTCTAGAATATTTTAGAAGAATATATATTAAAGATATAGATTATTATCTTTATTTTAGTATAAAAATAAAAAATATTTATTAATAAAATAATAAATTTTAATATAAAGTAATAATGTCAATTTTACTATATTTTACTATATTTTTTTTTCAATTTTTGGTAATATAATATAGGAGTATATATATGTTAAAAGATATGATATTATTTTTATTTTAATATAAAAATAAAAAATATTTATTAGTAAAATTAAAAATATTTATATAAAGAAAAAAATTATATTTTACTATATTTAATTAATAAATTTTGATGTTATATTATTTTTAATTGTTATTGTATATTATCAAATAATTTAGAAATTATTAAATATAAATAATAACAAAATCAAGTAATAGTAAAAAAAATATTAACTTTATTACTTTATATTAAAAGATATATTATTTAATTAAAATTATAAAACAAATTTGTTGAAATTAATAATAATAACTAAAGATAATTATATAAATTATTTTTAAAAAAATGATATTTTAGCAAGTAATTTAGTTTTGCTATATTATTTATATTAATAAATATTTAAAATTATCTAAAAATACTTGTTTTAATTTGTAGAATTCAAATAATTTCAGAAAATAATTTGAATTATTAATAAAATTAATCAAAATAATTTTGAATTTAATTTCAGCAAGTTAAGTTTAGCAAATTATTTAATTAAATAATATTATTTCAAAGATTATTCTTAATAATAATTAGTATTTAAATTAAAAAATTAATAAATTATAGTAATACTACAAAATAGTAAAACTAAATATAATAATTTGAAAACTCAAAATAATAATTAATCAAAATATAATTTAATATAAAAAGATCTATATTATTTTAATTTATTTTAATAATATTATAAATATAACTTTTATAAAAATAATTATCAAATTAACTTTATTATTGTTACAGTAGTAACATAAAAATTACAAATTCAAAAATAATCAAAAAACATGAAAATTTCAAAAATATTCATATAATGATAAAATTCTCTAGTATATTTTTACTTTTCACTATTTTATTTTTCATTATTTCGCTTTATATTTTTCACTTTTTATTTTTTACTTTTTTAATTTTTTACTTTTATTTTTCACTTTTATATATATTATTTCACTTTTTATTATTCACTTTTTATTATTTTACTTTTTATTTTTTCACTTTTATTATTTCATTTTTTCAATTTTTCACTTTTATTTTTCACTTTTATTTTTCACTTTTATTTTTCACTTTTATATATATTATTTCACTTTTCATTTTTTTCACTTTTTATTTTTCACTTTTTGAAATTTCATTTTTTACTTTTCATTTTTATATATATTATTTTACTTTTATAATTAGTTATTTCATTTTTATATATTTTTATAATTGTTTATTTTACTTTTTGTAATTTTGAAAAATGTATAAATAGAGGTGCTGTCTGAATCTTAACTTGACATATTGTAACTGAAAATTAAAATTTCTCTTAATAAAAATCTTCTTCTATATACTTTCTGCCTCTCATATTTTTTTTATACACTTTAAATCTTGTATATAAGTAGTCTTATATTATATTGAATCTATCAAATCACTAATAGTTTTATATTGTATTGTGTCAAGCAAATTACTATTATTGATTTTGAACTTTATATCATATTGTACTAAACAAATTATTATTATTAAATTATTGAGCTTTATATTATTATATTTATTTTCAATGATTCCGTAATTAATAAATCTTTCAAAATAGTAGAAAATATGAAAATCCTCAAAAATAGTAACAAAATAACAAATCGATAAAAATAATACATACATTTAATAATTATATAATAACTATTATTTACTTTTTTTATCTTTATTTTCTATCTTTTCTATCTTTTATATCTTATTTAACTATCTTTTTTACCTTTTGTACTTTTATTTTTTACTTTTTCTACTTTTTCTACCTTTATTTTCTATCTCTTTACCTTTTATATCTTATTTATCTATCTTTTCTACCTTTTTAACCCTATTTATCTACCTTTTTTTATCTTTTCTACTCTAATTATCTATTTCTTCACCTTATTTATCTACCTTTTTTACCTTTTTTATTCTATTTATCTATCTTTTCTACCTTTTTTATCTTCGATATTTATCTTTTTTACCTTTTCTATCTTCGATATTTACCTTTTCTATCTTTACTATCCTTATTTTCTACCTTTTTTATCTTTTTTTATTTACTTTTTCTATCTTATATATATATATCTTTTTATAATTTTATAATGTTGTTACGATTCAATTTTATATATATATATTTTATCTTTATCTTTTAAATTAATATTTTTATTAATTAAATTACTTTTTATTATTGGATTAACAAATACACATGATTTTAGTATACAAACTACATAAACATATATAAACATATATGAGACTACAAATCATGTATTATTAGTGAATATAATATATTAGTCATGATTATAATATATTATTAGTTATTATTATATGTTTTAGAAACTATAATGATGAATTATTAGTAGTCAAATGACGCATTAAATATAGAAATTTTGTATATAAAGAGATGCTTTTTGTCATAAAGAAAAAGCATCAATTGATCAAGGTACAGCTAGCAAAATAACTTGTTCTATATAGTTATTGTATCAAAATCAATAAAACTTAATTATTATATTACTTTAATTAAAATCTTATTACGCATAATTACTTTAATTATATTGATTGATTTAATCTATTTTTAATTACATCACTAAGGATATAAAGTACACTTAGAATTTATCTATACTAAGAAGATTCACAACATCTTTTAGTTATAATAATCACTCGTTATAAATAAACTTAATCATATTTGAAAATCTACTTACATTTATTTAAATAGAAGAGAAGATTCTCTTTTATTAATTCAATCAACAAAAAGCATCATAGTCACACTTGGTGCTCACAGCAGGAGGATCATTCAAAGCGTGATAGATCCCTAAGAGCAACAAACCCCGTATTAACTAAATAAATGCAGACTAAAATCATCATCTGTCATACTTATTACCTCAGCCAAGAAATCCTACAAAAAGCAAAAGAAAATGGAATCAAAATTGATCTTGATGATCATATCCACGAGCAAGAAATTGAAGCGTACATTCACGACGGAACCACATATCAACTTCGATATCGAATAATCGAGCAAATCAGTGGAAAAGATGATCCACAATATCTATCTGAAGAAGAATACTAAACTCCTATTAAATGCCAAAAGAAAATAATAAAAAGAAATTTAGTATACACGCATGTGAATTAAGTCACATAATAATCATCAAACACTTACTGACAAAACAAAAACATCAAATCCAAATCGACAACAAAAATGTCAAAAGAACTCTAAATAATATCTCTTGGACCAAATTTCAAAAATTGATCCCAAGAAAACTCAAAGAACAACTCAGATCAATTATTTTTGATATCTCTATTATCTTAAAATATAAAAGAAAGAATAGTCAATACAAAGTAATCGAGTGGTAATAATTTAAAGAAAATTATTCTAAACACTTACCACCCTGGCGATACCTCCAAAAGAAATCCAATTCGTCTGTGAAATCCAATACGAGAAACTTAAAAGTTTCTTCCAAATCGACGGAACTAATATTCTAAAACTATATCTAAAGAATTATATTCACGAATGGATCAACTATCATCAACACAGAATACCAGCCTCAGAAGATAGTCAAAGAAGTATTTTTTATCATATTAAAAGAAAATGCCCAGTTGAAGCTCGAGATCATTTCTTAAATGAATATTTGAGACAACTCAATAAAGATATATATTATTTCAGAGAGCAATATATTCAGCCCATCTATGATAACACTGCGACTGAATTATTTGAAATAAAAAAACAACAAAGAAATGAAAGTTCTCTATTTGCGTCCAGCTCGGAAGGATCGAATAAGGATATCAACGAAGAACAATTCGATCACGAATTGACTACATTAATAGAAAGGATTTCAACACCAATCATCAGCCAGGAAATATTCGATCAATCTAACGATTCACTTGAAAATCTGTCTAAATTTGATAAATTCGCAAAGAAAAATGCAGAATTAATAGTGAGAATACAAAATGAAATAAACAAATTAAAAGCAATGACTACCTTTAACCAAACTGATGAATGGGAAAATCCTTTTGTAAGAGAAGAAATTGGATTCCGAACAGAAGAGGAAGAAAACAATCAATGTTTTCAGCAATCAAGCTTCGCTAAGGAAGCAAATCAAGAAAGCCGACTATCAGATTCAGAATCGATAGATAAACCTTCCAAACAGACATCGAGTAAAGAAAAACAAAAATACCAAGAGGAAAGTTCAAAAAAGAATAATAAGAAACATAATAAAAATTCAAAAAATTCACCACCAGACTCAGGATCAGATTCATCTGACACAGACAAACTAAGAAAATTCAGTATTCCCAAATTTTCTCAGAATGTACCAACCAATGCCACTCACATCTTAAAGGAACACAAAATTCCATTATTTTATGAAGACGACGATGAAGAAGATCCAACTGAATGGTTACAAGACTTGATAAAAGTATGTAAGGCGAATAATTGGAATGAGACCACAATAATGTGACAAATTCCCTTGGTCTTAAAAGGTGTTGCAGCTTGTTGGTATGAAGAACTCCCAGACAGGATAGCGAATGATTTAAAACAATTTGCTGACACCTTTGTTAAACAATTCACAGACAAAGCAATTACCACTAAAATACACACTTGAATAGTAAATCTGAGGAAGAAACCCAATGATAGTATCACCAAATATTACGAAAAATTTACTAAGTTACTTCAACGAGCTGACCCGATGATGAATACTATTTAACTAAACAAAAATCTGATTTGTTTATTCGAGGGCTAGATAAAAAGCTACAGAAAAAAGTGTTTAGTACAAGAATTAACACCCTTACTGAAGCTTATAAAAAAGCAAAAGAAACCAAAATAATGCTTATCTATAATGATTTCACCACCAGCGTTAATGCAGTATTGGATGATGAAATGGAAAATGCTGACAGAAGAAGAATAAAATATTTGGAGAAAACCATCCAAATATTGGTAGCTGAACAGAAAGAAAATCAGCATATCGAAAGACCAACGGATGATAAAAAGAAATGCCATTATTGTGGAAGAAAAGAACATTTGATGCGAGAATGTCGAACAAGACTATTCGATCAAAGGAAAAAACTATCCACCAATCAAAATTGATCATTCAATACTTATTTTACATTTTGATATGATCAATGACCATTTAGACCGTACTGAAATCAACAATTGTTAATTAGGCAAGATTTATGGAACAATCGAGAAAGTCAAATATTCCGAAACAACTAAAACTACCAAACCTTTGGACACAATTTCTGGAAAGAAACTATAATCGAACCAATCAATAAAGCTATAATAATAATAATAATCATTGACCAGCAACATCACGTATTACTCAAAGAACTTATCTTAACATAGAACCAACGGAGGATGATTCTACTATTGAAGAATCTGATAAAGGATCCGAAACAGAAACTGAAGAATCCAATAACAATTCTATTATGGCTTTAGTAGCCCTGTAAAAAATACAGGCCATTTTTGATCCAGAAAATTCCTGATTTTTGAGTCTGAAAATTTCTGGATTTTTTTCTGATTTCTAATATTTGATTTAAATTCGGAAATTCAATAGTTTTGTTAACAAATTTCCAGAAAAATATCTAATACTTTCTGGAATATAGTCAGAATATATATGCAAATTAGACGGGATTTTTTTTATTTTTTCCGGAATAGAGTCAGAATATATATATAAATTAAACAGGATTTTTTCTGGAATAAAGTTAGAATTTATACGCAAGTTAGACGGAATCTTTTTTTATTTTTCCGGAATATAATCAGAATATATATGTAAATTAAACAGGATTTTTCTGGAATAAAGTCAGAATTTATACGCAAGTTAGACGGGATCTTTTTTTTATTTTTCCGGAATAGAGTCA